GTTTTTATCAATCATACACTTTGTTTCAAAACGATATTTGCTTGATTTGTTAACTTTTAGTTGATAGTCATCTTCCACACATTTCGTATACAAAGTTATCTTCAAGTCTTCCTTTGTATCAAAATAATCATCTTTCTTGATACGAATAACTTTTGTGTAACAATCAACTGCTATCTTTACCAACTCTTCTTCCGGTATCTGAAGTAATTCTGGCATATTCCAGTTATACTTCCGTAGCATTATCTTCTTTTTCTTTTCTTCGGGGACTTCTTCTTCTTCAGGGTTATATGAATTACAGAATGGATGTTCAACATGTTCATTCACAGTCGTAACTTCCTCCTCGTTATTATCAATAACATCATCCTCGGCAGCGGCTGTTTCATCATCAAAATTCAGGTATTGACCAATATCAAAATCATTACACGCAGGGTTTGTTTCTTCTTCTGAAACATAATCAAAATCCAAGTATTGACCAAGATCAAAGTCCGGGTATTGACCAAGATCAAATTTTGAATACTGACTAGTACTCATAATTTTTTCTGTTGGCTCATAATCGTCTAACTGGTCAATACGAAAACCAGAATTGGTGCTGAAAGTTGATTGGGATTTGGATTAGGAAAAGGTTGTGGGTTTTGATATTTTTTTATATGGAAATGTGGTGAAACAAAATTTTCTTGGTGATGAAATTGTGGTGGAACCATTAAATTATGAGGTTCATAACAACGTTGTACATTGTGAGCACCATAAACTGGGGTTGAAGAACTTAGTTGATTACTACCCACTACTGACCCAACTTCACTACTTCTAGGTTCAACAACATACAATGTAACATCATCTTCTTGCGAAACACTAATGTAAGAAATGAATCGTTCAATATCTTCATTGTCGGTTAACAAATAAACTTTATCTTTTCTCTAATAAGATAGCCTAAATCCACAAAGAGGCTTTAAATTCAATTTCTTTGCAACACGTAACATTAGAGTTTCATAAGTTAACTTTTATAATGACAATTTTAGTTGAAGATTCATGGGTAAAGGCATATATTGTAAAACACCATGAACATTCTCCCATGACCCTCCAAAACACAAATCTATCTAAACATGATCAACATTAGATGATTCATTCTACAAATTGTAAATTAATTTACTAAACAAACGAGCTATAAAATACATATCATATCACTAACTTAGAGAAAAACATACTTTTATTAAGTTGATAGTTGATAATTTGGGAGAGAAATCATTGAAAAATTATATAGAAATAAAATTATGTAAAAAAAATTAGAGATGGGGAAGGATGTCGTTGGATATAAGAACGGATGTCACCGGAGAGAGTGATAGATGGAGATGGAAAGAGTTGTGATTTAGGGATTTAGGTTATGAGTTGATGCTGCTGCATAGTTATATATCCAAAACATTTGTGTTGCGAAAATAAAACCTGGTACGAAACTAAAATTCGTGTTGCGAATTCGAAAATCGAGTTGCGAAAACAAAATTGTCGTTACAAATTAAGAAATTGAGTTGCGAATTTCAAATTCAGTGTTACGAATTTGGAAATCGCGTTGCGAATTTGGAAAATCGCGTTACGAATTTGGAAACTGTGTTGCGAAATTGGAGTTCGCGTTGCGAATTTGTTGGTCATTTTCGCAAATCCAAAAAACATTGGTTAAAATCGTATATTATAAGGCATTTTGGGTCATTGAAGTTACTTTCTCTTCTTTTTATCTACAAATCAAACTAGTAAACTGTTAAAGTTTTGTGTTGATAATTTTTTATCAACTAAATTTTTTTTACATCGATGATTGAAAATTTAAGGTTCAAAGACTATTTTTATTCATGTAGTAGACTCAATTTATAATTTTTATCCTTATGTTTTTTCGTATTAATTTAGCCCTTAAAATTGTTAGGGACAACATCCTAGCCCTCGAAGTCCGTTGATTGTTTTGATTAACAAAAATGTGAATCTTATGTGTGTGTGGATTAAAAAATTAATTGACCCTATTCCCATATGTAATGGGAGTAAGGGGGAGGTAGGGTAGTAGGCTGCCCCCAACGTCAGGTTGAGAGCAGCTTCCGTGGAAGACCTCCGTTATGAATTGCCCTCAGTGGGACTCGATCCCACGACCATAAGGATATGAGCCTTGCGCTGTACCAACTTAGCTAGACGGACAACTCCGTGTGTGGATTAAAAGATTAGATTTAAATTATTATTAAATACAACGGTTAGAAAAAATCCAAAATCTTATTATTTATTTCAATGAGATAAGGAATTAGGTCAAAATTAGTGTTGCATTTAGTAAATATTTTAAATATTTTATTATTTTTTTAAATAAACGTGACATCATCATCAAGCCACACCAACAAGATTGGTTGACGTGAAAATTGTTGGCGTCCACAGATGCGGAAGAGTTACTATTGTGTTAGTCAAAAGGGACTTCGAAAGCTAGGATGATTCCTTTAAACAATTTCGAGAACTAAATTGATGCAAAAAAGTCACATGGCGGAAATAATAAATTAAGTCTACTACAGGGGCAAAAGTAACCCTTAAGCTATGATTTAATTAGGAGTTAGTAAATTCGGATATCAAATCTTATCCGATCCAAAATTTTGAATATCTAAAATTTCAGATAATTAAAACAGTGATCCAAATTTAATCCGAAGAAGATGGATATCGAAACATTTGATCCGTATATATTAATTATTTTGAAAATAATATATTTATATTTTTTTATAGAAAGCCGTTAGTTTTATTAAAAATAGAAAATATCCAGAATTGTAATGAAGATTTACAAGCATAACCGTAAACATAAACTAAATTATAATTATGACATTTTCCTTTAACTATTGACACAAAAACTAGCCACCTAGATCACACAATGACCAAAAAAGAAAATAATAACAAATCTAACCAATGCTCGAACAAAATAAAGATACGAACAAATCTGTCTGCATCAACAAACGAATCACAAAAGAGGATGAAGCTACTGAAGACTACCGACGAATTGAAAATCAAAGTCAAGCGGCGTGAGAAAACTATCTATGAATGCAAAATGCGTATTCAAATCAATCTAAGGGTCCAAAGTGGGGAAGATCAGATGATAAGAAATAAGTACCATCTTGATCAATCGTGGCGATGTCAAATCCAACAATGAGAAAAAAGATAAACAAAAAAATGGCAAAAAAATCGAAAGCTACCAAAAGGCAAAGAAAAACGTATTACAAATACAGAGATAAATGTGCCATAAAGACAGAGATAAACATGACATAAAGGCAGAGAACATGTCATAAAGATAGAAGTATTCTTATTAAAAAACTAAAAAAAAAAAAGCAAAGAAAAAACCACCGACGGGCGGCAATTGGCATAAAAACTAGTGCTGCAACTAGTTACACGAAATTAAAGAAGATAAAATTAGAGTGATCAATAAAATTGATAAAAATTGTAAAGAAAAAGAAAAAAATAAAACCGAGAAGAATATATTTATATTTTAAAATAATAATTTTTATTCACTTGACAATCCACAACAATCCACAGGACGAAGTTTATATAAAAGTAAATACACTTAATAAGATCACATGTGTTTAATATATAAACAAACATTGGATTGAAAAATATATTTTTAGTCACCCTTCCCTATAATTTGCAAATTACAAAAATACATCTAAAAGATGATAATAACGAAAAAGTAAACTCTCCCGTTAATAATTTGAAAATTATTTTTGGACTCTATTACGAAGATTTGCATTTAAAAATCTTTCATAAATTCCAAATAAAATTCGTTCTTAATTCTACTATTCTTCTATCGAACAATTACTAACAAATAAATATTAATCATATAACAGTAAAAAAATTATATCACACGACTGGGCCTTGGGCTAAAGACCCATTTTTTTTTTAATATTTGGATAATCCAAAATCAAGATTTTTTATCCATATCCGATTATCTAATTTTTTTCTGGATATTCAATCCGAATTATCTAAAAAAATCGGATCAAATATCTCAATATTCTAATTAGATCACCCGATAATCAAATCGAATTATTCAGATAAAATATTTTTACTCACACCTAAATTTAATGTTCAAGTTTTGTTAGTAATATCATTTTTGTAATAAAATGGTTTATGTCATTTTTTAATATGATGTTTTATTTTTTAAAAATATATTTAATTAATAAATTTTTAATCATGTTAATTAGAGTATGAAATTTAACATCAAATTTAGGTAACTAGATTGATGAATGCATTTGATTATAACAATAGATTACTTCAATTATTTAATCAAACATTTTAACATTTATACCTAAATATGGACTTTATCTGATCATTCAAAAATACTCAATCCTGATTTATATATTTTTTTTAATTCAGGTGCTGAGAAATTATTTTAGAATCTAGGTCATTTGTTACAATATACATGAATCTCGTCATGAGAGAATAACGAGTTTCATAAAATATATTTTAAAAAATAAAACTCATCAAATAAACTAGAAGAAAATTGTATGTTATAATATTTATTACCTGAATAGTCATTCGAAGAGTCTTACAATCAAAAACAACGACGGAACAAAGAAGAGACTAGTGGGGGCCATGACCCCACTTCCCCCAAAAATATTTAAAAACTAAAAGGTAAATTATACATTTGGTATCTAAATTATCATTTTATTTTTTTAAATCATACATAATTTTACTTTAAGTTTTAATTTGGTACCAATGGCGGATCCAGGAATTAAACCATGGGGGTCCAAAATAAATATTATAATATTCATTAATAAAAAAAATTACATTATTAAAAATCCAAAATAACAATTCATTCAAAATGCACAAAAAAATACTAAACACTAGAAACAATTACAATTGTTCTCGACGAGCTTTCATTCCTTGAAATCGTTTCAAGATTTTTTCATCATCGATTTGGACAAGAACATCTCTTTCTATATAAGTGACCAAACAATCATTTAGAAATTGATCACCTATGCTATTTCGTAACTTATTCTTCACGATGTTCATTTTAGAAAATGCTCTTCCACACTTGCAGTTGCTACGGGGAGAATCAATACCAACTTTATGAGCAAATAGACTTGTTGATACACTTGATGCTTCTTTGTCTCGACAAGCTTCATGGAAAGTTCACCCATATCTTTCAATACCCAAAATCTATCATCCCTCCGCATATCAACAATATAATTATCAAGTTGATCATCAAGGGCTAGTCTATTAACACTTGTAAATTCATCGGGATATAATTCAACAAGTCTAAGTATCTTTTGTTTGTCAAAAGAAGAAAATTTATCAAGTAGACTCAAAGAAGCCATACAAGTCAATAACTCTATACTAACCTCATCAAATCGGTTGTTTAACTCTTGAAGCTGAAGATCAATAACTCCCAAGAACACTTCAGTTCGAAAATGATGATATTAGTAGTATCCAACGACAACGTCTTTCTTCCCGGAGGAGTATACACAACATCCATATTATGAATATCAATGTTATTCTTGTTACAAAATGAAGAGATTATAGCAAAAAAGACTCCCACTCGTTTTCCCTCATAGTTGCAATCTTTCTTTAGTTAAAGTAACAAGTGACATAGCATTGACAATATCTTGATCTTTTCTTTGTAAAGCTTGTTTAATTCATTCATAATCCCAAATATTCTCTTCATCAAGTGAATCATGAAAATGAAATCAAATGACTCTATTACAAAACTCACATTATCGGCTTTTCTAGCATCATCACCATTTCGAGCATCGTTACCAATCAAATCAAACCTCCGTATTGTAGAATACAAATCAATGACATTCAAAATCAATTATAATGAGACCCCCAACGTGTATCACCCGGCCTACCTAAACCAAGCTCTTGGTTTAAAACCTTTTCCAGTCACAATTTCACCATTTTCAAAGGCTTTTGCAATTTTTTCAGCTTGTTTTCCTTTAAGCAAATCTTTTCGCCTACATGATGATCCAACAACATTCAACAAATTTCCAAGTGTATAAAAAAGCCAACCACAATCTTTATTTTCTTAGAAACGACAACAAGAGTTAATTGAAGTTGGTGAGCAAAACAATGTATATAGTATGCAGATTGTGTTCTCTCATGATTAGAGTTTTGAGACCATTAAGTTCACCCATCATATTACTAGCTCCATCATACCCTTGCCCACGAATTCTTGAAAAACTCAAAGAATGCTCATCAAGCAAAGAAAAGATAGCTTCTTTAAGAGACAAAGATGTGGTATCTCCAACATGAACAATTCCAAGAAACTGTTCTTTTATCATTCCTTTTTTATCAACATAACGGACACACAAAGCCATTTGTTCTTTTTGAGACACATCACTTGACTCATCTACTAGTATTCCAAAATAATCCTTACCAAGATCTTCCACAATGCCTTGGTAGTTTCTTTTGCACAACAATTGATAAGCTCTTTTTGAATCAAAGGTGCAATCATTTGATTATTTTTAGGTGCATTTTCAAAACAACATTTCTCAAATCATCATTCTTTTCTGCAATCCAATTCAAAGTTCAAGAAAAGTTCCCTTGTTACTTGATTAATCACATTCATCATGACCACGAAATGCCAATCCTTGATGTAAAAGAAATCTCAAACAATGAAGAGAAGTAGTCAAGCGGATTCGGTAGTCACTTTTAGCTTGCTCAGTTTGTTGGTCTAAAGAAACTTTCAAGGATGACTTAAAGTTCTTTAAATTCTCAAACTTTTGAAAAGCTTGATTATGAGCACTATTAATTCCACCAACATGTTTTCTAAACCGAACTGGCCTATTCCAACCTCTAAACCCATTAACAAAAAATGCATATCCTCCTGCAGCTTTGGTAGTTTCATTCTGAAACAAGTAACAAACAAAGCAAAATGCAGCATCTTTTGAAACACTATACTCAAGCCAAGAATACTTATTAAACCAAGATTTATTAAAGCGGCGTAATGTACCTCCTCTGAAGTCCGTTTCAGGAAATTTGTGCTTCTTTGGTTGGCAAACACCTCTTTGTATGTATTCTTTCCTCACTGCTTCTCGATCCATTGGATTATAATCAATAATTTTTTTCCTTTAGCCGGATCATGTGGAATAGAGATATCATTAACTTGGCTTTTCATCTCTCTTGATGCAAATGTTGTACTATCATCTTGTGTAATACATGTAGATCTCATTTCGGTTTTGAGTTTGGGGCATATTATTTGAAGGGAAAGAAAATTCTTGTTCGAGTTGAGTTGCTGAAGGTTGAGTTGGTGTCGGTGATAAGACACAAATTGGCACTAGTGAAGAACTTGCATCATTCTTTTTGGACTTTTGAAAAACCAATCCAACGTTCCATTCTTCTTCTTTCGTTGAGAGTTCATCTTTTCATCATTCATCTTCTTATACTACAATCACAAAATTTACAAATCACAATAATTATTGATTATAATTCACTATTAGTAATTATATTTATTATCAAAGAAATAAGATCTTAATTACTAATTAAATAATTTTAATGGATTCAACTTAAAAACTAAAATATCTAAATTGCTTCTACTTAAATTACACAAATTCAGTATACCATTTTTTCTCCTTCCCAAAAATACATATTAGTAATTTTACATCACAATTAACATTCAAATATTTTTCATAAAATCACTAAAATCTATTAAATTGATTCAAAATTTATTTTTATCTCTTAATTTTAACTCACACAAATTCAAAAAAAAAAAAATCAAAACTTACAAACTCAAATATAAATTTAACTAAATTTAAGAGGGTAAAAGAATAAGTAAGAACCTAATTATCTGAGGAAAAGAAAAGAGCAACAACTTACCTGTAGTTTGGTTGAGGAAGTTCACCGGAAAATCGCCGATGAACGGTGTCGTGGCGGGTGGTTTAGGCTCAAACAAAAGACTGAGAATTGAGTAGCAGTGGCCAGTGGGGGTTGGAGGCTTGGTGTAACACCCCAACCCGTACCCGACCCGAATACGAGTCCGAGATGTCACATTGACTTTTTGAAAAATGATTTCATTTCAAAATAATTGAGCATTTTAATTATATTAAGAAAATACGACCATATATGGTTCACTTGTGCTTGTTATAAAATTTTGAGTTCAAAAATACATATTTGTGAACAGTAAAATACTGTATGAATAGAATAGTGAATAGTGAACAGTGAATAGTATGAATAGTGGGGGTATCGATTCCTTGTAGCAGGGAATCGGTTCCCCTCTAAGATACTGGAAAATTTTGTTTCGCTTAAACTCGCGTATGCTTCATCTATGCTTCCAAATTTATTTAACAAAATAAATTGAATATTATTAATTACATATACTCATTAAAACATTACAAAACTAATTCGTATGACTTTTCAAAACCGATTAGAACTTATCAGATTTAATCATTTATTTACATGCCAACCACTATCGTTATTACAAAATACACATTATACATTTCTTTTCTGATCTGATCTATGGAAAGGAGAAACTGACCTGTCTTGAGTAACTTTTAGCCGTCATCTTCTCATAACCTACGAGTGAAACAATCACACGCTAAGTCGTTGACTTAGTGAGGCATATAAAATATATAAGAAAACCATATAACATTTCATATAATAAAATGCATACATATTCATATACCATCATCATAATCTCTATTTATCATATGATTTTGTACTTATCATTTCTCATTTGATAATCACTAATTTCTTTATATATATCAGCATATAATATAAACTTCAAATCTCACTATTGCATAAATAATTACCAATCTCATATAACAAATACATTTCACTTAGAAATGCACACAATATCACATATGAATCTTGTAAATACTTTCAATGTCTTTTATAGGCCTATGTACATTACTGAGAACTCAAGGTATTCGAGTAAATTGAGGTTGTGCACTATTGCTGTCACCACAGCTCGTATAAGTCCCACTGAGTGGCATATGAAATTTGTCCCGAAGGACCTGTGAATATGTCCCGAAGGACCTATGAGTTGTCCCAAAGGACCTATGAAACCCTCGATTCTTGGCATGCCAACTATACTATAGCTCTCATATCGTTACTATGGGCATTTACAATAAATACTTTTCTCATCACTTGTTCTTTCTTTTCTGTCACATACACATGTATGTGTAACCATGTATTTCATATCATATCACATGTATCACGTATTGCATATTCATATATCATTTTCTATTCACATAACTTATCTCATTTCACATTGGTGTCTCATAGCATATATCACATATGCATATAATCCTGTATATCATATATATATATCTTATGTTTTATGCTCTTATGTTTATGCATATCATGTAACATATATAACCTATACTCATTTCATGTATTCATGCACATATAAGAATCACAAATTAAATAACATTTTAGGAGTCACTTCTTACCATAGTAACTCCATCACTGGCTCATCGCAAGTCAATGTCCGTTCAATAATATAAGTACAATTAAAATTGCACTCACCTTAGCCTTGTTTTCTTTGATTTGATCCTAATCCTTTGATTCCGGAACTTGTTTAGACTCAATATCTACATAAATATAACATTTCAAAACAACTATCAGAAGCCTAAACCTTAAACTTGATATTAACAACTTAAGCCAGATTAAAGAACCAAATTCCATTTTCATTTAGGGGGAATCGATTCCCCCCCAGGGGGTATCGGTTCCCTGCATAATCTGGAAATTTTATCCAGAAATTTACTGTTCAAATCCGAAAATCACCAATTCTTCACTAAATTTCTCATACAAAGTTCCTTTCATACCACCAACTTAACGCAACCATTTTAACTAACTTCTATCAATTCCACACTTATTATTTCCAAACTCCATTCAAATTCTTACAATTAAGAATCATACCCAAATTAAAACATGATATAATCAATTCTAACACTCCATATTCCTTAATTAACTTCTTGACAAGTCAAAAATCTTATTCAAACTTCAAAACTCATCCATATCAAAATTTCATCTAAAAACCCATTTTTCAAATCCATCTCTAAAAATATCTTGTTGTTTTAATGTCATATAAGCTTTCCTTTAGTTGTATAACATCCAAACTTCCATTTCCAAACTAAAAATCAAAGAAACGACCAAGGTTTAGATTCTACCTTAAGTTGTGTCTTCACGTTGAGAGAAGAAGATGAAGAGATAAGTCTCAAAGCTTATCTCTTCAATTCATTCAGGGGTATTATAATACCTCAATTATTTTTATTCTTTATTTACTCATAACCCTTTTACCCTTATTATAATTCCATATTACTTCATACCAACACACAAATTCCTCATAAATCATGAATCACTAGACTTATCACTTGATTCTAATTCACCAACTAAATTATAAACTCTTACAATTTAGTCACTTACCCGGTAATTGGGATGATGTTACAAATCTCCCCTTAAGAAAATTCTCCTCAAATTTTCATTGTACACACATTGATATGAACATATCTTCTAAAGTTCTCATGTTGCTTCTCTCATTAATCTTCCTTGACATTATTTGAAACTAGCTTTTCAACTTTTTTTATACATTCATCTACTGTCACTTATCATATAAACGTAACAAATAATCTCAATTTATTCCTGTCTTTCTCTCTTTACTGCCTTTGATCTTTCTAAATTACATACAATATTACTCATCATGTAAACAAAACATTCATTTTCAAACTCCATATCATAAATCAATCTATTTATTCATTAATCTCTAATTACCTTAAACTATACTAAACTTTTATTCCGTCATTTGACCAAGAACAAAACTTTAAATCTTCATCAAACGTGATTAAATATACTTTATAGAATTAAACAATCTTTTCACATCACCCTTCACACTTCTCGTATTTCTATATCGAACTTATCATCTAAATTTTCAATAACCTTTATCACATATGATCCTTTATACTCCATCCTTTTGTTTCTTTATTCATTATTATCCAGAATCAAAATCTTTATACAAAGATCGCATCTTTTAATTCATGTTCACATACTCTTTTCCTATCACTTATATTCATCTCCAATTACCAATCTTTATCAATCTTTATAAATTTGATAATTAGCTTTACTTATAAAGAACTTTATTCTCACCATCTCTTGTACTTATATTATTTCTTCCTCAAAGCTCCTTTTAAAAATTGTAAATACTCTTATCTTTGCCGTCATCATATCTATATGATCCAATACATGACCATATCCAAATCCATATCAGACTTAATTAACACTTTATCTTTTCTTTCAATCTTATAAATCTATTACCTTTACTCTTACGACTAGCCGATAACAAACTATTAATCTAGGGCACAAGCCCTATTTAATTGATCAAATACCCCTTTTTCAATCCAAATATCTCAACAATAGTTTACTTAACTTACAAATCCACATTTATTCTCATTCGCCATGTAATTTCTTTATTCACACTTAACATTTCATGTCTTCTATCTTATAAAATCATTGATGTACTTATTTCTTAAACTCTCCGAAACCATACTCATATGAATCTAGGATTCATATTATATTTGTTTAACACACTTTAGCTCACCGCATAGAAACTAATTATCTCATCTAAATTCTCCGCTTTAGTATAGTGATATCCTTAAACATTATTTAATAACACATTATTTTTTTTCCAACGATATCTTACTCAACTTTTCAAACTCAGACTCTTACTCACACGCAGTATTATTTCACTATTTAAAAAAAACTCAAACACTGCAACTTTCTTTATCTTGAAAACTGTTCACTGATATACTCATTCTCAAACTTTTCTATTACTTTCTCTTGAACATTCAATCCTTATCTTATTCACTTTATCACATAACATAATTAAAATATACATTGTATTCGAATCCACTTCATATTTGGTTATCATAACCTAACAATATCTTATAATTTCCAATACATTTCCATAACATAATTTTGTTAGCCATTGATAACGCTTTTCATCTATAATGCAAATCCCTTATCATATACACTCTTGCACAGTACTATTTATATATATATTATTCCTTAGTTTCCGTCAAACATACAAATCCTTTAACTTAATACATTC